TGGCCTGCCCCCACCACTGACATCACCACAGCCACCTGCAGGCATTCTCAGGAGGCATGAGTCAGTCATGAAAGTGTTTGTACCCAAAAGCTTGCAAAGAAGAATTTTGCCAACTCTTTTTAGCTGGTCTAATGAAAGACCTTTGATTTCCCCAAAGATCCTATGAAGTAGGAACATTCATTTCTACCCAGGAGAACTTTTACAATGTTTTCACTGATGCCTGATGAAGGGTGTTTGTGCCCGAAAGCTAGGGTGGCCATCATAGAGGACATGGACGACTGGTGCCACCTTAGTCAGGGGGGGTACAGGAACCCCCCCACAGCCAATCTTGGTAAGCGGGGGGTGGGGGGAGTCCCCCCCGTGGCCAGTCTCACTGATGGGGGGACGGTCCTCCCATGGCTGATCTGGAGGTGGATGATTACTGTGGCCGCTTCTGGAAGTGGCTGTGGCAGCTTCTGGGAGCGCCACGGTGCTCCCACCCCCCAACTGGCACTCTCGGGGGGGGGGGGCACCAGCGCTCCCGCCTGCGTCCTCTGCCCGTCACCTAAGTGGGGAGTGCAGCTAGTCGGGTGCGCCGGCGCTCTCAGGCGGTGCCCGTGCATCCCCTACATGTTGCCACAGATAGAGGACATTCCGGTTTTCTGCTCCTCGTGCCCTCTATTGATACGAAACCCAACGCCTTTAGGTCCTCCACTTTCCATAACAGCATCCGGTTTTGTATCAATTGAGGACAACAACCAGGCTGTCCCCTATGACGGCCACCCTACCAAAAGCTTGCAACGAAAGACATTTTTTCTATTTTTTGGCAAAACTCTCTCCCTCTAATCTAAGACATCACCTCTCCCACGAGCCCGGACTGATGGGGTTTTTTTTTTACAGTTGTGAGGAAACTGCCCCTCCGGAGCAGGCCCGGGTGGCTGGGACCGACCGACCTGCGAGTGGGTGAGTGAGTAAGGAGGAGGCTGGAGGAAGAGTCGGGCGGGAGGCGGTGGGAGCACGAGGCGCCCATTTTCGCCTCCCGCACCTAGGGCCGGGCCGGGCCGGGCCGGGCCGGGCCGCGCTGGCAGTGGGGCTGGCGGG